CAAAGGGAGCCGGTCCCTCGAATGCCAGTCACACACGTACGGCATTAACGTTGGTTTGGGGCTGTTCCAAGCTGCTGTTCCTGCTGCTCCTTAGGATTACAGAAATAACACAATTATCTCCATGGCTCTGAGCCGTTGACAGAGCAAGCCCTGTGTTTGTCAATAGCAGGCCCACACAATCTCCCTCCAATATACAGAGTGGCGCTGTAGTCACGCGCCGATGGTCTCTTTAGCACGTCGTCGCTATACATCTGTCTCTCTTGCTGTTTTTCTATCTCACCTGTCTCTCTCTGTTTCTTTTTCCATTTTCTCCTACCTTCTTTTTTTTGTCTTCTCTTCCTTCCCTCCCTAGTTTTTTTTTTCTTTTTTCTGGTATATGTCGTGCTATAAAAAGGAAGTCTGACATGCATCAGTGTCTTGGTTTAATCGTGACACATCTGCCATGATCTAGCATTTCTCTGTCCTTATGCTTTCCACCCTTGATCTGTTATCGAGGTGCCATATGTATAATCATAAAAAAGAGCTCATAAAAAGAGTGGTCCAAAGCGCACAAGTCATGCTTTTCATTTTGGTTAGCTGTATGACAAGACCACATCCAAAATAATACAATCCAGTTCATCTGATACAATGTTTGTTTAGGTCTTGTTATTTGTTATTAGTGATGCCCGCTAAAGTGGGCACTACCCTAAAATGTATGACTTAGATGAAGTACTAATTTGGCAATTCTGTTTTCATTCACACATCCTTGTTTCATTCCAAATGGATGGACTTGTTGAGCGCAAATGATATTTTGCAGTATTGTTCATACACTTTCAAAATACAAAAAGGACATAAAGGTAGTTTGAAATGCTTGATTATCCATCTCTGATCACAGTAACATACAGTGTATGTATGTATGTATGTATGTATGTATACTGTATGTATATATAAATTTTTTTTGAGCCATTAAGCGAGCACCTAGGAACCACCAAAAACACCCTTGCAACAACAAAACAATATGCTAACAGCCACTCAGTAAACCTGGCAACCTTTCTTTCTTCAGAAAATGAAAAAAAAATTGAGTTATTTTTCCTGTAATCACAGTTCATGCAGTCATTCTGTTTATGTTTGATGTATTTAATTTGGTAAACCTTCAGCATCTGCTCAAATGTCTACTTGTGTTCTCCAACCTGTTCGATTTACATTTGGCCATTTTTACAGTCGAGTTGTTCTACTTTGTCTTTACCCTATGACACTGAAACACTGAGAATGACCCCATACTGAACAGAAGGAACTACCTGTTGATATCACAGTTTGGACTGAACACTTGCTTTGTGGCCCGTATTGATCAGCCTGCCAGACCCTCGTGTCATTTAGTAATTTTCTATCTCTCTTCCACTGCCACTCTTTCTCCCCCTCTTGAATCTTCAGGGAGTGTTTGTTTGTCTCTGTGTGTGTGTGTGTGTGTGTGTGTGTGTGTATGAATTCATTGTGTTCTCAAGAGTGCCTGCGACTCTTTGGACTTTGATTGATGAAAGCAGCATGAGAATGTGATTTTATTCTTTTTTGGACATGTTGGCTTCTTTGTCATGGAGAGGAAAACACCTTAGATATACAATATCACACTTCATGAAATATTCATAGCAAATGCTAAAATAACCAGCCACCTGAGTATATGTCCTACCCATGCTTGTTTTCATCCTAGCCGGAAGAGTACTTGGATTCCAATTGACTATATCAATGCAATTTGAATGTGCGAATAGTGTAAGATGAAGCTCAGAGTCTGGCTACACTGCTGCTGTTGAAGAACATTATTTTAAGCTACATTATTTTAAGCTATATTATCCGAAGTTTGGTTTAACATGGATAATAAAAATATAACTAGGTGTGTGCATTTTCAGACAAAAAAAATGGTGCATGCTCTTTTCTATACTGATTTGAGGGTATTGTGAGTGATTTCCAGGATGTTACTAGGCTTTTATAAGGGGTTGTTGAATGGCCCATGGTTTTCTGGTCCCTGGATATGGCCTGGATATGGCTTGGATAGATCAAAGCAAAATTTTGTTTGTCAGACAATCATTGTGAGTCTCATTGCTTAGAACAGTATTAACACACTTATTTTTAACACGATGCACAGTATGATGTATCAGTCATATCATGGAATGAATTATGCACTGACGTTTAATACAGTATGAAGTGGTATAAGTTTGTTTAAATCCTTAACACTTACCATGAGCAATAATAATAGAGATGCTTGTGTCAGTCAGTACTAATAATGCAACAAAAGAGGTGGCATTTTCATTAATCATATAACATGCTCCATTACTGTGCCTGAAGGGTAAATGACATCAAGGTCAGGTTTGTGTGTTTGTGTGTTCTTTTTTCTTGTCTGCTTTTCTTCTTCGTTTAGAGCTGGAACAGATGGAGATGGCCCTAACAGAAAAGATGCCAGTGACATTTCTCTCTTCCCCTCATTCACTCACTGTCACATTGTAATTGTCTCATTCTCTGTCTCATTTCTGCTAGTTCTTTAGCCTGCTTTTGATGCAACACACACGCATACACACATCACTTCAGGCTTCAGAGTAACTAATGCCAGAACACGAGTGGGAGTGCTGTTACACATTCACTTCAGCCACAAATCTGTCATCTTTCACAGAGAAAGGAAAAGGGAGGTGGGACAGGAAAGCAGAAAGAGAGAGTGTAAAAGAATCTTAAATGTTGAATATTAAATTTTTTTAATTATTATTATTATTATTATTATTATTTGATAGGGGCCCCAAAGACAAGACAAGGTTGTTCCAGGGTTGTGGAAATGGGTACTTGTGCAACTCAATTCTGCTCTTTACTTGGACAAGGGAGAGTTACTTATGCCCCCAGGTATCTATTGCTGTCTTCCCCTCATGCTGAGAGTACAGTCTGTGGGCTGACTGGACAATGCCCACACTTTTATTTTTTGGCCATGAAATTCTCTGGATAGGAAAACTTGCTGAGTTCATTGATCCTGGGGGCCTCTGATCAAATCCCACACAGACACAGACATGATCCCACACATCATTGTGAGTGTAAAGAGAAGCTGGATATTTGTTCGGCTACTCTGGACCTGGGGCCTGGGTGTGGCTCTGTGCACAGCTGAAACAATAATGCAGATGTGACGAAGAGGCTGCGAATCTCATGAGTGCAGTTAATGTGGGAGGAACCGAGCTAAGCAGGCAACTGCTACATAAAGTTATGCTCCTCTATTAAGACACAGATACCCAGCAGAGCTCTGTGGTCCATTAGCATGTTTAACAATCCCAGCATTCTATTCCCTTCCTTGGTCCAGCTCCAGAAGATTCACAGGGACCCTCCGTCAGCATTCCTTTTTTTTCCACTTGTTATTTTGTTTAAATTTAAAACAAAGTGAGAGTTGCTATAAATTATGCCAGTGTGTGAAGGCGGTTTAGTATTGATAGCATTTTTATATATGGGGTGGAAGTGCCCTCTTTGCTTAAATGCGTGCAATTTGTGGATTTGCAGGGTTTGCTGTTGAAAAAAAAAAGCAAAATGTGACTAAATCCCTGGGCAGATGAGTATGAGTGGATATGAACGGAAATAAATTATGGGATGCATCTGTCATGGACAAACTTGTTAGAAGAAAAACTCAGGATAATTCACTCACTGTGAATGTGTAAATTATGCTAATGAATCAACAGATGAGGCGAAAGCATTTGTCGTCCAATAAAATGTTTTTTTTTTGCATCAAATATGATAAGTTCTGACTGGGGGTTGTTAAACTCACCACATTCAGTGACAAACCATTTGTTTGTTTATTGGCATGTGATACTCTTGATGATTGGCTCATCATGCTACTGATGGCTGCTTCATTAGCATATCCCTATAGCCAGGCTGTATTGTGTTGTTAGGCTAGTTTTAAAACCTCGTTGTGCATTTTGGCACACCAAAGCTACAATAAGAATTTCTTCCCATGCCGTTGTGTCCGGTTTTTGCCAGATGAGCCCACTGCTTTGAAATGCCGCCGTGTTCGCTCTACCTTCATCTCTTGAATAAAAAAAGCACAGAACTCTCTTTTCTCTGAAGAAACCGGCATATTGTCACACGCAGATGGCCGACTAATGAATTGCAGAAAATAGAGCATAGTTTCACAGAGACTTAGTCAATCAGCTGGTGGGAATGGTTGTTTATTAAATCACTGTTCATCAGAAGTTGGACCTCGTTCACCTGCACACCAGAGAGCTGGATGGTGGGGTGAGGCAGAAGGGGTTTTGCATTCATTGGCTGATGCCAATTCAGAGAGCGATAGAGGAATCTAACCAAATAAATACTTATTTCAGAGAACAGACTCTCACATATCATCTTCAGTATATCCACTCAGCCATGCATTCCCAGTAAACATTTGCTGAAATAGCTTAGAGGTAGGTGGTACAAATCAAGAGCAACCCCTTGAATGCTTTCTGTACTGTGATGATTTCCCAGAACAAAAACAGGTTCTGCTTGGCATTGTTTCCAGACACTACAGGAAAACTCTTGACTGTTTTAATCTACGCAAATGTTAAGGTAATTTTAACTTCAATGCAGTGACTGCTTCAGACAGAAATGTACAATTATGTTCGGTCCCCCACTGATGGCGCTTTAAACTGCGCACTGTAAGCTATATGCTATAATTACAGACTATTCTTTCTTCAGAAGCAGTTATCAAATTCAGCTGCAGGGTAAATTGCACCTGTGGTTCTCTGCATTTCAACCTGGGTGAAAGTTTAAGATGTTGAGTCATTATCTGGTGATAGGGCCCCAAATTTGAGGTTATTTTAGCTGCTTTTATTGTTGCCAGAAAATTGTGTTGCTTTTTTGCTTCCAGTTGCCCCGAAGTGGAACAAACACTCTAACAGTGTTTTACCATCCAACTGAGAAGTTATTGACGTTGTCCCACGGTCATTTCTGAGGGAGCCCCTGTTGAACATACTTACACTCCAAACTGTAGGGCCAGAAAATGACTCATTCATTTTTTTATTTCCAAACAGCAATTTTCCTGGGTTCATTCCGGCTGCCTTATGAAGAGATCCGGGATATCATGCTGCAGGTGGATGAGGAAAGGCTAAGTGAAGCACTAATCCAGGTGAGTTGTGTGTGCATAGGCACTTTCACATAATGCAGCTTGATCCCCTATTCGAAACCTTTATCCGCTCACAGGGCAATGTATGAAATGCAAACACATCCTGGTCAAAATCCAGTCCAGGTCCTGCTGGGGTCATTATATCTATCTATCTATCTATCTATCTATCTGTCTGTCTGTCTGTCTGTCTGTCTGTCTGTCTGTCTGTCTGTCTGTCTGTCTGTCTGTCTGTCTGTCTGTCTGTCTGTCTGTTATTTTAGGGCTGCTAATTTTTTATTGTATTAAAAATGTTTAAGTGTTACATTTATTTATTTGTATTTCTTTATGTAAAATGTCTTTATTTTGTGTGTGTGTTTCGTGTAGTACATTTGCACCATTGCTACAATTTATTTAGTATTTTAGGGCTGCTAAAGTTACATTTTAAAGTTATTTTAAAATGTTTAAGTGTTATGTTTTATTTATGTACTTATTTATGTAAAATGTTATTTTAGGGCTGCTAATTTTTTATTGTATTTAAAATGTTTAAGTGTTACATTTATTTATGTATGTAAAATGTATTTTTTTGTTTGTGTGTTTTGTGTAGTACATTTGCACCATTGCTACAATTTATTTAGTATTTTAGGGCTGCTAAAGTTACATTTTAAAGTTATTTTAAAATGTTTAAGTGTTATGTTTTATTTATGTACTTATTTATGTAAAATGTCTTTATTGTTTTCTTTATTATTATTATTTTCAGTTTTATGGTTTAGATAGTTTGGAGTCATAAATGTATTTATTTATTTATAACAAATCTCTTTTTTTTTTTTTGGTGCTGCTAAATGGAGTGTATGAAACTTTTGACATGTAGAAACACACCAGACCCCTAAACAGATCTGTTTTTCAAAAGCCAGACATTCATGGGAATTTTCTGAAAAGCATTTGTAAAAATGTCCTACGTTTGTCTTTGCTCAGAGATTCGTCATGCCTACAGATGACTGTGTGTATTTGAAAAGCTTCATTAAAGAGATGTCTTTAATGCCAGGCAGTGCTTCGTGTACAATACTCTGTCTGCTTTCATTCACCAGGCCAATAGAAGCTCCACTTTCACTCTCTCATAATAGCTGCTTTGGGACAGGACTTGGCAAAACTCCTGCTGCCCCACCCTTCCTCCCACTGCCCTTTGTCTTACAGGCAAGATTGATGATCCTTCAGGAAGCTCTTCACGCCCTGACTGTCTCGGTGGTTTTTGTTCATCTTAAACGTGGTAATTGCAAATGGCATGTGTTTCCTGAACTAAAGATACCTCAGCTGTCTGTGAAAGAGTGGATCTCATTTACATTAGACCACCCTTTGCCTCTAACCCTCTGGTGGCTTTTTCACCACTGTGAATTAGGAGAATTTGAAAGAGTCAACTCTGCTTCACAACTGACAGTTTGACGTTTTTCTCAGAGACCACTAGGGGGATTTGTGACTTTTATTTTAGCTGTTGCTTCTGAAGTGGTTGGGGCAAGTCCAAGTGCCAGAATTAATCTGCATTTTTCCCCCTCCATATAGATGAGGAATTTTAGTTGTTTTCTGTCTGTATTTTTTCTTCTTGTTCTTCTTTCAAAGCTGGAGAAAGGTAGAGGAGATAAGGAATATTTAGATGTCCAGGTCGACATTGGTCCCTCTTGGCTGTTACTGGGAGCAGAGGTGACCTTTAATTGCCAGGTGGATTGGGTTGGGTGTGTGGAAGCCTGAACTGAGGTGACAGCCCTGTCGCTCTTTACAGAAGCAGAAGAGCTAAAGTGATGACCTTTTCCCATATTCAGCTGTGCTTTATAGAGGAGATTCAACTGTCAGGTCTGCACACCTCCTTCCCTTGTCTCTTTTCTCAGTTTCATCCTTCATCCATCTTTCTCTCTATCCCTCTCTCTTTCTTATTCACCCAAACCCGCCCCCTCACATTTGTCACCTGCATAAGCCCATCGTCATCCCTGGAGCTCAAATAGCCACGGCATGATATCCTCATCCTTGAGCGGGAGGTAATGCACTGGTCCAGTTTTATGTCCTTACATGGTAATGGTATAGACTTTTTTAGCGACTCTCTGGCAGGACGGTAATACCTCAGTCGTGCCGACGGGATGTTTGGCAGAGGTTTGTGGGTGAGCTTGAAGCCACACACAGACGTGCCTCCAAACCACTCAAACAATATGGATAGAGAGACTTCTGGGTATTGTTCTTTTTTATTTTTCTTTCTCCTATGGTAAGGACATGGCGATTGCTGCTCTACCTTGACGTCATTCACACTGCGTCAAGGAAATGTCACGTTTTAAAATAGGAAAGATGCCTGATGAGTGTAAATGTCCCAGTGGTCACACTGCAGTCTGACCGTTAGTTTCAATGCACGTGAAAGAAATGTGCATGGTCTCGTTTATGATAGAATGAGAATAAGCTGTTCTATATTTCTTGAAAATAAATGTGAATTCTGTTCTATTGACTCAGTATTTAATAGGATAGTTATTGGAAATTAACTGAAGTTAAAATTTCAGTTACGATTGAACCAAGTGGTACAAATTAGAAAATGGATAGGGATGAGTTTTTTTTTTTGGATGTGGAACAGAGAAGTGACTTCCTTTTAATTCATAAGTTGGATCTATCCATCTGTATATCTCATTGCTATTTCAATTCAAATAAGAATTTAAAAGACTTGTCTATTTAATTCTAATCTACATCAGAGTTGTTCTCAACCTGTGCTTACATAATAGTGTCACTTTCACAAACTCTTGTATTCTCCCCCTACATCCTCACAACACAACTTTGCCATTAAAATAAAAGCATTCTGTGACTCAGCATCAACTCAAGTTTAGATGTCATCAAAAGAATAAAATGCTCTATTCCTCTGAATTTGATGTGTAATGTAAATGATGTCTCCATGAGGGCAGAAAGTGTTACTAAACAATCACCTACATTTGTGTTGGAGCTGATTGGTTCAGTGTACTCCATCCTACACAGCTCCATCGGATCATTCGAGCAATGCACAGATCTGTAAACCCAGCAGGCTTGCCAGGGTGTAGCATCCATACAGTAGGCGTGTGAAGCCTCTCATCTAACGCTTGCCTGCACAGCCAAGCACTCAAACACTTACTTTCCATTGTCTGGAGAAAAACGCAATGCCTCACTCAGACGCTCTCTCTCTCGTTTTCTTTCTCTCTCTGACAGGAATGAGGCTTAGTATCTCTCTTTTATTTATTATTTTTGACTCTGTCCCTCTTTTCTTCTTGCTTTGTGGATGTCATTTCACATTTTCTCATCACGCAAGCAATGAACCGTCATCCCACTGACAACAAAGAGCTTGCAAAACAATCAGATAATAAAGCATTCATTATAGTCCCTGATCCAGGAAAAGGTCCCCATAAAAAAGGCAGATGTGCTCACAAAGATACTCTGCCCCATTGTAGACGTGTGACAGACAGAAGAGAAAGAGACTGAAGACTGGGCATGTGCAAAAGAGACCAAGGTCCGCATGGCACCATTATGTTCACACCCCTTGTTTTCGTCTTTCAGAACGCCTGCTTCACAACCCAAAAGAAGCCAGGTTCAGCCATGCTCTGCTTTGTTCAAGCCACCAATGAGACCACAACCTTAAATCTTCCACCCAGGCAAATCCCTTTCACTCTGCATCATGCATTTATATTAATACACATCCATTTCTTTCACGTGCTACTGAGTTCGGCAGCTGTGCCCTGCTGACCCCATATGGAATGTGTGAAGATAAGGCTGAAGTTTTCTTTACAGCACTTTTTGATACTGCTAAATCTCTATAATCAGTTTAAATGATAATTAGAGAAACAGGAGCCAGGGAGGCAGTATCTTAAGTTTGCGTTCTCTAGTGGTGTCTTAATCTCTCAAAGAACCTTCCCACAGCCCTCTGGGGAGGCTTTAATGTGGGGATAGTAGTTTTTGGTTCAATGGCCTTGTACTGCTGATGCCAAAAGCACAGTAAAGCCAAAAGCCAGAACAATGCAGATACCATTAATAAGCTCTCAAAGGCTCTGGCCCTCTCTGAAATAATGCACCAGAAGCATTATAGTATGCTGAGAATAGGACAATAGACTAACAGACCACACTCCAATGCAATGCAATGATGATGATAAACAAAGTAACAGGTTAGTCTTGATAAACGAAGGGAACGGCGAGGGATAAACAAGGATTTTGTCAGCAGTTTTCTCAAGAGAGGAGTTTTAAGGAACTTGCTGCCCAATCGCTACTTTCACATGGATTGATGTTTCTTATTCTTTCTCTCTCGCTCGTTCTCTATAAGAGGGTTGTACTTAGGCACTGCGCTGGCCTGGAGCAAAACTTTATCTCGGAATTCTAATAAGCTTTTCTATCTACATCATATTCAAGATGGACTCAACCTTTGTACTCTTTGTATAGTGCTATCAACAGGGAGCTGTGTAATGAACACTAATAGCTTTCATTTGAAAATGACCCACTGCACGTCTCTCTTCTTAGCTCACATGCTCTCATTATGGCAGGGCTAACCTCAGTTCAGCTCAGTTAATGTGTTCAGTGAAATGCCAGTCATTCACAGGAAATAGTACTGTGGGCTTTGATACTCCTGCTGTGGTTTTGTGTGATCATCTTTTTCAAACTTCACACTGAACTAAAAATATCTATAATTGGCCAATTTGTTAAATATTACGTTTAAGTCATGTCATGATAAAGTGCTGTTAATTGCTATCCAGGTTTCTTCTCTCATTAGGTTCACAGATGCAAACTTGCTTCATGCATGTGTTGGATGCTGAGCCATTTAACAGTCATATACAAGCAGTTTTAATTTGCATAACCTTGATGTGTATTAGAAAGGAATATACCTGGATGAAGATAATCAAAAGAACAATGCGGTTATGAAGTCAAAATATTGTGGAACTGTTGTATTGTATATAGAATATCAGATTTTGTATTTGTTTATTTCATACAAATTCATGACAGTATTTGCAGTTTAAATATCTATATTGTAGATAATTGAATCATATTTT